CCCGAGGCCGCCATGCGAACCCTGCCACTGGAGCCTTCGGTGGAGCTCCCTATGGGGCCACGATCCTCGTGAGGGGTGTGCCGAAATGGCCCGAGGCCGCCATGCGAACCCTGCCACTGGGGGCCTTCGGGGGAGCTCCCTATGGGGCCACGAAACGATGCACTGGGTGGGTGAAACGCAGGGAGGAGGGAGGAGGAGGAGGAGGAGGAGGAGGAGGAGAGGAGGAGAGGAGACGCGGGCCACCGTCTCTTCAAAACGAGGACCCAACACCACAGGATGGTTGGGAACAACAGCACAGGGAGAAGGGGAGGTGGGAGAGGAAATATGAACGACGGGAGAGCGCGGCTTGGGCTACAGCCTGGAGAGGTGCAGCAGAGCTTGCTGTGCCCGTCAAATGCAAATGGCGCATCGAGGCATGGTTCCGCCCCGGGAGAGCAGCTGGTCTCCTTCATATTCTGCTCCTCCTCATGGTCATTATTCTCCCATGTTCCTCCCTCCTCTTCCCTCATCCTCCTCGCTCCTCCTTCTCCCTCTCCTTCATGCTTTTGCGTTCCCCCTTTTCCTCTTTCTTCCCCCCTCCTCCCCGCTCCCCGCTCCCCGCTCCCCGCTCCTCCTCCTCCTCCTCTCCTCCTCCTCGCTCCTCCCTTCTCCCTTCTCCCTCACCTCCTCCCCTCCTCCTCCTTCTCATCCTCCTCCTCCTCTTCCTCCTCCCCTCTTCCTCCGCTCCCTCCTCCTCCTCCTGTTCCTCCTCCTCCTCTTATTCGTCCCCCTTCTTAACCGTGCCTGGCAGTCGTGGGATGAGTCGCTCGAGCTCGTGCGACGTGGCTGGGATTTGTCCGAGGGCCGATGGGCCGATGGGGAGCCTTCCGAGCCACGCCGATATCTCTCCGTCACCGACTGAGGTGCTCGAGTCCCACGGGGAATTTCTGGCGGATGGTGTACTCGGGCGAGGGCGACTGCTCTTCTCGAAGCCTTCGGTGCCCACCTCGACGCTGCGCGCTGGCGTGCAGCCGCGCCTCTCCACGACGGAAGAGGCGCGGAGACCGGGGTCGCATGGACGCACGCGGCGGAGCTCATTCGGCGTGCTGCGAAAGACGGTGACTTGGCGCTGTCCAGCATGACTCGGCTAGTTGCCTGCGGCGGTCATTGGCTGGAGGAACGCAAGTACTCTGCTAAGATTGCCAGCAGTGTCGACCCTGTGTCGACTCGTCTAGTCATGCTCTTGGGGGGCTGCTCTTGTCACGCCACTTTGTCTTGTGAACCATCTTGCGTCGGGTAGCTTTTGGCTTCGCGCGCCTGTGCAGTGTTCCATCTCTTGCTTGGGCTTGCGGGGCGCACGGAGTTCTGAACACTCCACGTCAGACGAGACCGCGTGCTGAGTTGGCTCCCATAATGAAGGTTGTGCGTCGCACGGCACGTGACGGTGATCACTGACCACATCAATCACCAGAGAGCTTTCCAGAAGGGACGTCACCACACCTCTCGGTTGCAGAAAGCTGAATCGTGGTGGGAGCTCAGGCACATGCTAGATTTGCGGTCTGGGTTGCTCGATTTAGTTTGTATGCCTAGCCATTGTGCCGATGATGATGCGAAGCTTTCTCGTCTTGCCGCGTCTCTGACACCGCATCATGTTTCCACGATCGCGGATGCTATGGCCACGGCGCGGTCGGCGAGCGCCAAGATCCCGGCCGACGTGGCTCGTGAAGTCGTTGCACTTGAAAGCTTGGCTTGCCGCATTTTGCTACGCGATGCTTCCACCATGCTGGAGCTTGCCAAGGTACCCAAGAATCCAAAATGCACGTGTGCATCGCGTTCAGCTCCCGCGAGCGGTCCGCTGGCGCCGGGTCGTGGTCGCACTCCTTGACGCTTCCAGCCGTAATTTCGAGCCAGTGGCCAGTGACAAGTGGAGGTGCACAGCCTGCAACGAGCTGGTGCGACCTGCAGCTCGTCTCTTTTTCCGCACGGTTCGTTCGCAGTGTGCGGCCAACGCGTAATCTGCGCATCCCACGCCCGACCGCAAAGGCGGGCTCGAGGGCGACGAATGGTGGGTTCGCGGGTCGGCGAAGCACCTATCGATGATGACTGTTGGCGTAGGCTTGAATTGTCCGAACCCCCGCGACGTTTGCTTCCTCTAGCCTTCGTCCACGGGCACAGGGTGCATGACAGCAATGCCGCCTGGAGCATAGGCCGCTTCACTTTCTGTGGGCCTTGCGGATGTTTGGGGAAGCGAACCCTGGCGATTTGCGCATGGAGTCCCTCGTCGCTCTGCATGGCCTGGCGGCCCTCACGGCATACAACTGTGAAGCTGGGGAGGCTGAGACAAGGCAAGCACCCCTAAGACGAAGTGCCTGCACTGGGGGAGCACAGTCGATACCTTCACCGTCTTGTAATTCGTCACTTCTCACCTGCTTGGCAATCTATTCGGAAGCTTGACCGGCAATGGTCCACATGAAAAACTCCTCCTCCTCCTCCTCCTCCTTCTCCGCACTGCTTTTCCTTTCCCCCTCCCCCTCCTACTCTTACTCCTCTCCTCCTCCTCCTCCTCCTCCTCCTCCTCCTCCTCCTCCTCTCGCCCTCCCCCCCCGATACGTCAACGGGACAACGTGTCCCGGTCGTCTTACCTTTTGTTTGCACAACCTCCGGTCCCGACGAGGGGCCCCTCCCGGGCCTGGGGGCACGAAGATACTTGCTCCGAAGGAGAAGCTGGCCCCAGGGAATGCCCCGGGGGTGGAGGGTCCATTTCCCTCGAGACCCCTTCCCCTCGACAGCAAGAACACCAATCTCTTTTTTCAACGCGAAGCACCCACCAACGTCCACAACTCGATGTCTCCACAGTCAGGCTGCCGGCTGCCAAATGCACGCACCCACTTGCTGCCCGCCAGGCCCGGAAAAGAAACCCTGGACTGGGGCAGCGTGGCCGATGCAAGACTGGGACGAGCGACACCAAGAACACCAATCGTGCTGCCCCACAAGCGCGCACGTTGCCCCAGCAGTCACAGCACCAATCACAGTCACCAGGCTGCCGTCGCGGCCCTGCGATGGTGTGCTCCTGTGAGAGAGGTCGGGGGCTCGCGGTGGTGTGAGGTGCTGGGATGGCCGCCGCGAGCCTCTACCTGCACCCTTGGAGGGCGAAGAGTGGGTCCCGACTGCTGGCCTGGGTGGCACGCAGGTGCGCAGCAGTGCCGCTAGGTGGCCGTGGCCAGTGGCTTGGCGGCGGCGAGGAGGAGGGAGGGGGCATAAAGTAGGAGCTCGACCGCAAGGAACCTTCCACAAGAAACCCAAGCCTGAGACCCCAGGACGTCTCTTGATTTCTGGTGCGGGAAAATCACGCTGTCCATCGCCGAACCGTCGAAACCCGCTCAGGGCACCCTGGAGGCAAGCAGGGTGTCTCTTGGCATGAACTTCCACTGACTGTAGGAGACACGAGTTTGCCAGGCAAGCACCCGCCGATCTCAGCTGCCCCGTCCCTGCAGACGGCCCGCCCCCGTGCGCGCCCGCTGGTCCCGTCGGACCCCCTCGCCCTGTGCACCGTGAGCGGGGCCCGATTCGACACACGACTCCGTGCGCCGGAGAGGAGTGAGCCCAACATGGTTCAGGGATTGGACAGCGGGGTAGGACGCCAGACGTGGCGCGGTCGCACCCGGTCTGCCCCCATTCCTCTCTCTTCTCCCCGATCCGTCTGTCCCTGCTGCGTCCCTCTCCTTCCCTCCACCGTCACTCCTTGCTCCGTCTCCTCTTCTCCATCCCCTGCCTCCAGCCTGGGCGCAAGCGGGACTGGGACCGTCCTCCCCCTCCTGGTCGTCGTCCTCCTCCTCGTCGTCGTCCTCCTCCTCCTCCTCCTCCTCCTCTTGCTCCTCCTCCTCTTCCTTCTCCTCCTCGTCATCGTCCTCCTCCTCGTCGTCGTCCTCCTCCTCGTCGTCCTCCTCCTCCTCGTCGTCGTCCTCCTCCTCCTCCTCGTCCGCCTCCTCGTCCTCGTTCTCCTCCTCGTCATCCTCTCCTCATCCTCCCGCCTCCCTCCTCCTCGGCCGTCCGCCTGCGCACACCCCTCTTTCTCTTGCGTCCCCCCTGGGGCGTCCCTTGCCGTGGGCTCACCATGGCCGGCCTCTGGGCTGCCGAAAGATGTCCGGCGGATCTGCCCTCCGACCGGACAGAGTGTGGCGGTGACGATGGGGCCTTCTCCATCCCCAGATATGATCGCGTCGTTCGAAAAATTCGGGTCGAAGGATTTTCGCCGTTTTCGGCCTCTGAAGGGGCCCCGGGACCGTCGAAAACGACTCAGGATGAAAAACCTGTCCTGGGGAAAGGGTCGGGACTTCCGGGGACCGTGCATGGAAAAAATCAGGGCATCGCATGTCTGGGTCCTCCTTCTGCTCCTCCTCCTCGCCCCTCCTTGCCCCTCCTTCCCCGCCCTCCCCCTCCTTCGTCCACCTCGCTCCTCCTCCCTTCTCCCTCCTCCTCCCTCCCCGTCTCCTGATTTGGTCTGCTCCTGGTCGCACGGAGGGCAGCTGCCGCGCACCGAAAGCAAAAGCTCCGCCGCGCGCCTGCCACGTCCCAGCTGCAAGGCCGACTTTCCAGAGCGCGGGTGCTCGAGCAGGGGCGCTGCTGAGACGCACGGGCTGGCCCACCGAGCGTGCTTCTCGTCGGGCCGTCCTTCTGCCTTCCTCCGGCCTTCCCCCTCCGGCTTCTCCGCCTCCACGCGTCACTGCCGCCGTCGCTCGCTCTGCCTTCGGTGAACGGTCTGGTCGTGCATGCTGCAACGGCTGCATCATGACGGTGAGTCTAGATTCTTCCTTTCCCCGCACTATGCCTTGCTTGTCGCGCGGCTTGCTTGCCAGAGCAGTCACACACACTTGTTTGCTTGCCTGAGCGCTGACCTACCCTCTGTATGTCATACAGGAGGTAGGTCAGCGCCCTGGCGTGACAGAATGTGACTGCTCTGGCGTGACAGAATTTGCACGCTGAGTCAACTCGCCTCTGATCTTCAACCCTGGCTCGATAGGTTACTGGAGAGCCCCGGCCCTCGTCTCCCCCGAGGCCTGGTCCAGCTGCTCTGGCCCAAAGAGGTAGGCGATGGTGCTGGCGTACAAGAACCTCAGGCGCGAGTCCCCAAAGAAGTGGACCCACTTGTCGGACAGACACTGGCGGAGATCCTCCTGCGGAGCCAGCGTCTCCCCCCGAGGCCATTGACCATGTTCTGCTCCCTCACCTCGTCAGCATGCCCTCTTCCTCCAACTGCTTCTGCCTGTGCTCGTCCAGGCCCTACCCCCACATCAGCGAGCCTATCCACGAAGCGCTGCTAAGCATACCCACCAGCGCGTCATGGTCACATGTTGTGCCTCTTAGCCACGGAATATGTGGCAACAACGCTTGCGTTCAACATTTTCGGCAACCATACGCTACATTACAAGCCACCTGTCTCCACATGTGTCGTGCATCGGGCACTGAGCACATCACTCCGTTCAAGTGCTCGCATCGTTGCAATCTGATTCGCTGTGCGGGGGACGCTACCTGGCTGAAGTGCTTGGGCTTGAAAGAGTCCCTGCTCGGGTGCGGAACTGAAAAAGCACAGAGAAGTCGATAGTCGTGACAAGGCAACTGTAATCATCCATCGGGCTGTAAACATGTTGATGCGGTGTGCAATTCAGCACAAACATCCGTAGACATCAGATAAGAGACCAGACCCAGGACTGACAGAAATTCAGGGGCAGCTTACGGCATTATTGCACAATTATTGCTCAGGGCCTCGGTGCGACACCTGTGTCATACGACATCCACTCAATGTCTAAACAACATTCGCCTGGCGAAGAACATAACCAAATGCAAATGTGAATGCCGCAATTGTGGGCATCGCCTTCCGTGCAGCTCCCAATGGGCCACGAAGCGCCGTACTGGGTGGGAGAGCCGCATGCGAACTGCGCCACCTGGGACCTTCGGTGGAGCTCCCTACGGGGCCACGAAGCGCTGCACTGAGCGGGGGGGACGTATGCGAACTGCGCCACTGGGACCTTCAGTGGAGTTCCCTCTGGGGCCACGAAACGCTGCACTGGGCGGGGGGGACTCATGCGAACTGCGCCACTGGGACCTTCGGTGGGGCCCCTATGGGGCCACGAAACGCTGCACTGTGCGGGGAGGGGGGGGCATGCGAACTGCGCCACTGAGACCTTCGGTGGAGCTCCCCCTGGAGCCACGCAACGCTATACTGGGCGGGTGGGGGGGTGGGGCGCATGCGAACTGCGCCACTGGGACCTTCGGTGGAGCTTCCTGTGGAGTCACGAAGCGCGGTACTGGGCGGGGACCTTCGGTGGAGCTCCCTCTGAGGCCACGACACGCTGTACTGGGTGGGAGAGACGCATGCGAACTGCGGGGGAGGGAGGAGGGGGCAGATGAGGACGAGAGAAGGGGAGGTGGGACGCGGGGCGCTGTCTCTTCAAAACGCAGACCCAACACCACAAGATGGTTGGGAATGCTTTGCAAGTTGTATTGACCGTCTCATATATTTTCATGCTCCTGCCCCCCCCCTATGTCACTCGTCCTCCTCATCCTCCTTCCTCGGTCCTCCTCGGCGTAGTCCCAGGCTCTGGGGATCCGTGGAGTTGGAGGGGGAAGGGGAGTCGGAGGTGGACTGGACGGGGGAGCTCGAGGTGGACGTGACCGAGGAACACGTTACCGAATGACACCTTCTGGAAAAAGGTGGTTCTTCGCAGGCATATACCGTGGCCATACGCAGCGCGTGTCACAACAGCGTGTACCGCTCAAGCGATGTGTGGCCGTTGCCACCCCGAGCGCGCGATGGCCTGCAGCATTGTGAATCCACACTTGGACGTCCACACTGCAGGCATTGTTATCAACACTTCCTGCATCGCGTTCTACACATCGTGTGGCAAGGACGGACCCGCCCTCACACTCGCGGTGGCCGTTGGCCTTCGGGGCATATCGTGTCTTAGCGCAACGTGTGTCACACAACGTGCGCCCGCAGACACTTGATGACTGGTGAATGTCGGCATGCGAACTGGCGTCGACGTTTGGCAACCCCTAGCGGCTGCTGCAATCTCTATGCGCCCTTGTTGTGTCTGCACTTGTATCGGTCCCGCGCTCCCAGCCCCCTACGATTAATACACGATGTCCACGCTCTCCAGTGTGTGAACTCTCGGCGATATCTCTGCTAGCTCTCTCTCTCTCTCTGTCTCTCGTGCGCGAACTCTGCTGTGCCCAACCCTTGTGCTACATGCATCGCTGTACATGAACACCTTTGATTCGAATGCATATGAAAACAGCGTGTACACAACAAAGTGTATACACACGTGTATATACACATGGATGTCTGCACATACATACATACATACATATATATAGGCTTACACGGATTATGTGTATGCGTATGCTTGCCCTCTCCTTAGATATCTCGCTCTCGCTCTCTCTGTGTGTGTCTCTCTCTCTCTCTGTGCATGTATGCCAATGTGTATACGTATATCGATATATTCCTCTGATGTGCCCACCCCTAGCCGTGTATGGCCGTCCACTGTGTAAGGTATACCCTCTCAAATCCCTGTGCTCTCCCCCGCTCCATATAGAAAATGCATGTATATCCGTGTGTATATACATACTAGAACCACGCGCGCGCTTCGCGCGCGCTTAGGTTCTAGCTAGGAGGCGAGCTTGAGTCAACGAAAGTCGCAGGGAAGGGGGCAGGGGGAAGAAGGCCAGAGAGCGCTGAAGGATACAAATATTGGAACCCTCTTGTGATTTTGTGGGGGGCCTCGTCTGGCCGCTCGCTGGGAGATTGACGTAGCTTCTCGGGAGCCTCTGAACCTGTCGGGGGCCTCCTGGAAGCAGGTTCGAAGCATTTTGGGGGCCGATTTGGGTCTTCTCGGGGCCTCCTTCGGGCCTCTTGGGGGTCTCCTGGGGCCTCTTGAGGGGCCTCCTTGGGGCCTCCTGGCGGCCTCTTGGGGCGGAAAGCTCGAGCTTGCGGTTCGTGGTCCCCCTCTGGGCCCCCTCTTGGGCCCGTCTTGGGGCCCTCTTGGGCCATCTTGGGCGCCTCTTGGGCCGTCTTGGGGCCCTCTTGGGCTGTCCTGGGGCCCTCTGGGAAACTTTTTGGGCCGTCTTGGGGCGGTATTGGGCGCCTCTTGGGCCGTCTTGGACGCGGTGAAAGCCCAAGAGGCGAACATGCGAAAAATATACGTTTTCTCATAGGAATGCACGATTTGTGCTTCTTGGGCCTCTCTTGGGCTGCCTCTTGGGCCCGTCTCGGGGCCCTCTTGGGGCATCTTGGGCACCTCTTGGGCCGTCTTGGGGCCCTCTTGGGCTGTCCTGGGGCCCTCTTGGAAGCTTCTTGGGCCGTCTTGGGGCGGTCTTGGGCGCCTCTTGGGCCGTCCTGTAACGTCGGAAAACCCAAAAGACAACTTTGTTGAACATGTACGTTTTACGAAGGGGATGGGCAAATTTTTGCGTCTAGGGGCCCTCTTGGGACGCATGTTGGAGGCTTCTTGGGGCCTCTTGGGGGCGTCCTTGGACGTCTGGGGTCTCCTGGGGCCTCTTGAGGGGCCTCCTGGGGGCCTCCTGGCGGCCTCTTGGGGCGGAAGGCTCGAGCTTGCGGTTCGTGGTCCCCTCTGGGCCCCCTCTTGGGCCCGTCTTGGGGCCCTCTTGGGCCATCTTGGGCGCCTCTTGGGCCGTCTTGGGGCCCTCTTGGGCTGTCCTGTGGCCCTCTTGGAAGCTTCTTGGGCCGTCTTGGGGCGGTCTTGGGCGCCTCTTGGGCCGTCCTGTAACGTCGGAAAGCCCAAAAGGCGACTTTGTTAAAAATGTACGTTTTACAAAGGGAATGGGCCAATTCTTGCGTCTGGGGGCCCTCTTGGGACACATGTTGGAGGCTTCTTGGAGCCTCTTGGGGGCGTCCTTGGACGTCTGGGGTCTCCCGGGGCCTCTTGAGGGGCCTCCTGGGGGCCTCCTGGCGGCCTCTTGGGGCGGAAGGCTCGAGCTTGCGGTTCGTGGTCCCCCTCTGGGGCCCCTCTTGGGCCCGTCTTGGGGCCCTCTTGGGCCATCTTAGGCGCCTCTTGGGCCGTCTTGGGGCCCTCTTGGGCTGTCCTGGGGCCCTCTTGGAAGCTTCTTGGGCCGTTTTGGGGCGGTCTTGGGCGCCTCTTGGGCCGTCCTGTAACGTCGGAAAGCCCAAAAGACAACTTTGTTGAAAATGTACGTTTTACGAAGGGAATGGGCAAATTTTTGCGTCTAGGGGCCCTCTTGGGACGCATGTTGGAGGCTTCTTGGGGCCTCTTGGGGGGCGTCCTTGGACGTCTGGAGGCCATCTTCAGCATCTCGGAGCCCTCTTGGAGGCCTCTTGGAAGTTTCTTGGGCCGTCTTGGGCGTTTCTGGGGCCGTCTTGTCTGACTGGGGAGGCCTCCGGCAAGCCCCGACGAGCCTCCGGGCCCCCCGGGGTGCACATTTGCGGTCGGGGTCCCGGCCCCGGGCCCCCGGACCCGGTGCGCCGTTATATGTATATATGTATGTACACGTGTATCCCTGATCTCTCCTTGACTCCAATATCTCCCAATACCCTTTGTATGCTCCGCACACTCCGAACACTCGGTACACCCCCTTGCTGTTCTGTGTGCTCTCTCTGCGCGCTAGATTGGACACTCGCGACCTTCTACAACTTAATTTACTTCCTCTCTCTCTCTCTCGCTCTCTTTCTCTCTCTCTCTCTCCCCCTCTCTCTCTGCATTTCCTCTGCATCTCCTCTGCCCTCCACGCGCCCTGCGCTCTCTGGACTCTGAAAATTAGCCTGGCGACGGACCCAACCATATGCAATTGTGAGTGCCGCAATTGTGAGGATCGTCGCCGGTGGAACTCCCTATGGCGCCACAAAACGTGTAAGGGGCGTGCCGATTTGGGGAGGTGGGGGGGGCATGTGAACCCTCCCACTCGGACCTTCGGTGGGGCTCCCATAGGGCCACGAAACGTGTGAGGGGGGTGCCGAAACGGGCGTGACGCCCACATGCGAACTGCACCACTGGGACTTTCGGTGGGGCTCCCTATGGGGCCACGAAGCTTGTGAGGGGTGTGCCGAAACGAGCGCGACGCCCACATGCGAACTGCACCACTGGGACCTTCGGTGGAACTCCCTACGGGGCCACGGAACGTGTGAGGGGTGCGCCGAAACGGGCGTGACGCCCACATGCGAACTGCACCACTGGGACCTTCGGTGACGCTCTCTATGGGGCCACGGAACGTGTGAAGCGTGTGCCGAAACGGGCGCGACGCCCACATGCGAACTGCACCACTGGGACCTTCGGTGGAGCTCTCTATGGGGCCACGGAACGTGTGAGGGGTGCGCCGAAACGGGCGCGACGCCCACATGCGAACTGCACCACTGGGACCTTCGGTGGAGCTCCCTATGGGGCCACGAAACTTGTGAGGGGTGCGCCGAAACGGGCGCGACGCCCACATGCGAATTGCACCACTGGGACCTTCGGTGGAGCTCCCTACGGGGCCACGAAACGTGTGAGGGGTGTGCCGCAACGGGCGCGATGCCCACATGCGAACCGCACCACTGAGACCTTCGGTGGAGCTCTCTATGGGGCCACGAAAACGTGTGATGGGTGTGCCGAAACAGGAACGACGCAGGGCGGGGAGGAGGAGAGGAGGGGAGAGGAGGAGAAGAGGACATGGGGCGCTCTCTTCAAAACGAGGGCCCAACACCACAGGATGATTGGGAATCTGAATCTTCGCACTCTCTACGCCGCCGAGAACAAGGAACCGGAAACAACTGAACCTGCAATTGGGACTCCAGGCCATCGAAGCCAGCGGTCATCCAAGAACTGGTAACCAACGTACCCACATCGGCGCCATTCCTTCATCAAATCATTACAACATCCGCTAGGACCCCTCAGTGTAAGCACTGATTCGGGAACGGTTCGACGGTGGGGCCCTACGTGACTTGTGAGCAAGCCAGGGCGAGAAGACAGCTTCGCACGTGACGGTGACTATTCTGAGCCTCCGCCGCCCCCCTCCTCCTCATTCTCCTCCTCCCTCTTCCCATTCCCCTCTTCCTCCTCCTCCCTCCCTCCCTCCCTCCCTCCCTCCCTCCTCCTCCCTCTCCTCATTCTCCCTCTGTCGTTCCTCCTCGCTCCCCTCGCTCCTCCTCCTCTTCCTCCTCCTCCTCCTCCTCCTCCTCCTCGTCCTCCTCCTCCTCCTCCTCGTCCTCCTCCTCCTCCTCCTCCTCCTCCTCCTCCTCACCGCTCGCTCCCGCAGCTCCTCCCCCCAAGGCCGCAGAGAGAGAGAGGGAGGGAGAGGGCACGCGCCTGCCGTCGGGCAGCCGGTACTCGTAGAAGCTGTCGGCCTCGCCCTCTCCAATTCGGCGTACCCCTCGCGCGTCTCATAGCCCCATAGGGAGCTCCACCGAAGGCCCCAGCGGCAAAGTCCGCATGGCGGCACCGCCCCATGTCGGCGCACCCCTCGCGCGCTTCGTGGCCCCATAGAGAGCTCCACCGAAGGCCCCAGCGGCAAAATCCGCACGCCGTCTTCGCAATTTTGGCACACCCCTCGTACGAGTCGTCCCCATCCTTCGTATCGCATGCCTTGCGGTACTAGCAGCTGCATAAGGCTGAGCCTCTCGCCAGGATGATTTCCAGACGTTGAACGTCTGGTAGAGATCGGTTGTGCCGAAGAAGCGGGGGTAGGAAGAGGGGGGCTAGCACATCAAGGCTCGTGACATGTGCGCGTGCAAGGGCGGGCCAGGGGACGTGCTGAAATCAGAAGAAGAATAACCATACTACTAATACGAATACTGAGACTAATTACCATAAGAGTGAGTCAACAACACTAACTACCCCAGTGCGGCCCTACCTAGGAGTTGGAGCCCCTAGTCGAGCAGAATTAGTAGTAACGGTAAACGCCGTCCTCCTCCTTCTCCTCATCGTCGTAGTTGCCTTTGCTTTTGCTTGTTTTTGATTTTGCTTGGTTTTGCTTTTGCTTTGCCTTCGCACAAACACGCATGTTTCTGCATTCGCTCACCGGGTGGGCTCTCTGATCGTACTGTTGCACATTGCTTTTGCTTTGCCTTTCCTTTGCTTTGCTTTTGATTTTGCTTTGCTTTGCTTTGCGTTGCTTGTGATTTGCTTTGCTGTTGCTGCTGTTGCTTTGCCTTTGCTTTGCTGCTATGCTATGATATTATATGATATGCTATGATATGCTATGTTATGCTATGCTGCACTATGCTATGCTATGATTTGCTATGCTATGCTATGCTGCGCTGTGCTGCGCTATGCTGCGCTATGCTATGCTACGCTAGGCTGCGCTATGTTATGCTAGGCTATGGCATTCTATGTTATCATGCGCTATGCTACGCTAGGCTATGGTATGCTATGCTATGCTGCGCTATGCTATGCTATGCGGTGCTATGCTGCGCTATGCTATGATATGCTATGTTATGCTATGCTAGGCTGCGCTATGCTATGCTCTGCTGGGCTATGCTATGATAAGCCAAACTAAGCTAAGCTAAGCTACAGCTACGCGAAGTTAAGATGAAGCTCAGCTAAGCTAAGTTAATCTAGGCTAAGCTAAGATGAGATAAGCAAAGCTAAGGGGGCGCAACTGGGGGAACCGCGGGGCGGATACTGGGGGAACCGCCCGGGGCGGGGAACACTGCCCGGCCCTTTTAAGCTAAGAGAGTAAGAACCCTCTAGGCAGAGCCTAGGTAGGGAATAATGTAATGATACTAATAATAATCAAATTCCTGCTACTAAGAAGAAGGAGAAAAAAGAAAGGGCCATGCAGCCTGGGAGATTTCATGGTCTCCCATTGAGCACGAGGAGGAGGAGGGCGGAAGAGGAGGAGGAGGAGGAGGAGGAGGAGGGCAGAAGAGGAGGAGGAGGAGGAGGAGGAGGAGGAGAACTCAAGACTTGCCCGTGTCCCCACTCTGTGAGCGAGCCGACGAACAGGCAGGATCGGGCAGAGGAGGGGGCAATGCCAAGGGGGGTCACCACCAGGGGCGAGTCGCCACTGCCTCGAGGGCAAGCCCCTTCCTGGGAGAAGTGGCCCCCCCAAGAGCACTTCGGAGCTCCTGCCAGCGACCCCAGTCGTCCAAGAGCCTCAGTGGTCTTCTACCCTGGAGCCAGGAGGAAGGAGAGAGGAAGGAGAGAGGAAGGAGGAGGGGAGGAGGAGGAGGAGGAGGAGGAGGGAGGAGGAAGAGCAGGAGGAGGAGGAGGGCGGAAGAGGAGGAGGAGGAGGAGGAGGGCGGAAGAGGAGGAGGAGGAGGAGGAGGAGGAGGAGGGCGGAAAGCGGGAGTGGGAGGAGCGAGGAGGAGGAGGAGGAGGAGGACAGACAGACAGACAACAGACAGACAGACAGACAGACAGACAGACAGACAGACAGACAGACAGACAGACAGACAGACAGACAGACAGACAGACAGACAGACATGCTCATGGAATCCCTCGTCAGCTTAGCCTCGAAGCATCACACAAATTACGCAAAGCTTGGATTCTGAGGGGCGAAACCTTAATCCCGCCGTTTTAAAAGTGGGAGCCGTGCACACGTCGTGGCATTGGCACCCCCATCGAGAGGGAGGGAGGAGGAGGAGGAGGAGGAGGACGAAGGCGGAAGAGGAGGAGGAGGAGGAGGAGGAGGGCGGAAGAGGAGGAGGAGGAGGAGGAGGAGGAGGAGGAGGAAGAGGTCGGTGACCCCCTTTAGGCACCAGGTGAGCAGAGACCGACCGTCCCAGCATTCCTACACGTACCAGGACATGATCTTAGAATCCAAGAACGTTCTGAGCAGAAAGGCAGTGCTGCCTCAGCCAGAAGTGCTCCAAGAACAGTTCGTGCACAGCACACAAGGTTTTCAGAGTCGCAGAGCATCACTTGGATGGCCCATCGGCAGGTCAGGACGCTTCGCCACTGCTTGGGCCAGGGCAGCCCACCAAGATCCGACGACACGACAAAACTTCAGCATCGTTGCAAAACACGCCAGGAGCCCTGGACACAACCTTTCTGCGGCATCTTTCGAGCCGGATCGATCTGCGATGCTCCTGGTCCGAAACAAAGCAAAACAGCCCGTTGCGAAAAACGCCGTCGCCGCCGCCGCCGCCGCCGCCGCCGCCGCCGTCGTCGTCGTCGTCGTCGTCTTCGTCGTCGTCGTCGTCGTCGTCCTCGCCGTCGTCGTCATCGTCCTTCAGGGTCGGCGGCGCCAGCCGTAATGCCTTCACAGTATATCCTCCTCGCTGCTGTCCGTGCCCTCTGGCTGGCAGCGGCTAGTCGCCGCAAAACTCCTCCTCCTTTCCATCTCCTCCTCCTGCTCCTCCTCTCTACGGTCAGGAACTGTCGCATACAGTCAAAACTGATAGCAAGGATGCGCGATAAGAATGCAGGCCCCTTAGACGCCCATGCCGAAGCTTTTCGAGCAGGGCTGGTCATCGAGAGTGGTCAAGGATGGATCGAAGAGGAAAGGATGCAATGGTTAGATGCTCATTCTGGGGACCTTCCTGGAGCCACTCGCTTCACTCGAGCGTCGAAGCTGCGTCGAACGTCCGTCGACTCTAGTCGAACCTGAGTCGAGCCCGAGTCGACCTGGAGTCAACTAGAGCCGAACTGGAGCCGAACTAGAGTCGAACAGATCTGTCAGGTGGGCTCCAGGAAGGTCCTCAAAACGAACATCTATAGAAGAACAACAAACTACATAAACATTAACTTTTGGCGCTCCGCGCGGATTTCTTGGGTCTGCGCTGGATCCCCCTCCGTGGCACGCGGAGCTCGCCAGGGGCGTCGCGGGAGGCGCCGCCCGGGAGGGCCCAGCGCGGATCCAAGAAATCCGCGCGGAGCGCCAAAAGTTTATGTTCGTGGCGTTTTTCTTCGTCGAATCTACGATGGGGGCATTGGATAAGGATCCCTTACGTAAGGAATCCAGGTCTGGAGGCCGGTGGAACTTTATTGAGGCTTGGCCATGGATATCACCGCCGCCCTCATCACATAAGGAATCCTCCAGGGTCTGCAGCCTCCTGGGCACATTCCTTAATCAACGCCCCCACCGTGCAGTGGAGGCCGGTCCACAAGAAACCTTCCGCAAGAAACCCTACCCTGAGACCCCAGGACGTCCATAGGTCTTTCGTGTGGGCACGTCACGCGCTCCACAGCAAAACCATCGAAGCCCAAGAAACCACGGGCACCCTGGAGGCAAGCGGGGTGCTTCTTGGCACGGGTCTCCACCGCAACGACAGGGTGCCCCTGGGAGTGTGACCCGTCCTTGTCCTCGCCTTCGCCCGCAGCGCGTCGCCGCGGCGGAGGCCGCGCACAGGCGGGCGGTGGAGGCCCGTGCGCCGCGCCCCGCGCGGGCGAGCCGGGCACGGCAGGGCGGGCCGAGGGAGGTCGCGGAGGGAGGGGAGGATCGAGGGGCGAGGACCCCGCCCCCCCTCGCGCTGTGAAGACACCACCGTACGGAAAGTCTTTCGCCGTTCTTGTCGGCCTCTGGGGGCGCCCTTCTACCGGGCCTCGGGGCCGTCAACAAAACGACCGGTATTTCGTCCCGAGTCGTTTTTTGACGGTCCCGAGGCCGGGCGAGGGCCCCCCCGGGGCCGAAAATAGCCCAGACCCTCACGTCCTAAATTCTTAGCGACGCGATCATGTCTGGGGATGAGAGACCGGTCCCGGGGAGGGGTCGCGTCCCGAGAAAATCATGACGTCGGGGGTCGAGGGGGAGGAGGAGGAGGAGGAGGAGGAGGAGGAGGAGGAGGAGGAGGAGGAGGAGGAGGAGGAGGAGGAGGAGGAGGTGGAGGTGGAGGTGGTGGAGGAGAGAGGAGGAGGAGGAGGAGGAGGAGGGGGAGGAGGAGGGTAAGAGTGACCTTCGGTGCGCAGCTCCTGGTGCCAGGCCCAGGCGCGCAGGCCGCTGCTACCGCCTCGCGCTCAGCGATCGGGGGTGCCCCAGTGGGCCCGCACCAAAGGTCACTCTGGCGAGCGGTCACTCGCACGTCGAAGAAGACGGGAGGTTTCTCGCCGTTTGCAGGCTCTGGAAGCCCTCGCCGGGCCCTGGGACCGTCAAAACACGACTCACGACGAAAAACCGGTCCCAGGGAAAGGGTCGGGACTTCCACGGACGCCGTCCTGAAAAAATCAGGACGTCGCGTGTCTGGGGATCGAGGGTTGGGGGAGGGGCCAGGAGGGGGGCGTCGAGGAGGGAGGTGAGGGGGATCGAAGAGGGGTGCCTTGCCGCTCCTGGTGTACGCGCCGCTGGTCAAGAACCCCAGCCTGCCCTGCACCTCGGAGGCGTTCCAGCGCGCGGGGAGCCTCGGCTTCCCCAGAGGGGGGTCTTCTCCAGGAGGAGAGGGGCGGGAGGAAAAGGGGAGGAAGAGAGGAGGGGAGGGAGGAAGAGGAAGAGGAAGAGGAAGAGGAAAAGTGATGAAGAGGGCTACTCCACGAGCCAGGAGGAGAGAGGAGGGAGGAAGAGAAGGAGCAACAGGCTGGGACAGTGGCCCGCTTCCAACGGCCCAGGACCGCGCCACTACAGCTCCTGTATGTTTCGCTCTTTCTCTCTCTCTCTCTCTATATATATATATATACATTATTAAGTCTGTTTATCACACCCTTTCTCTCTCTCACACCCTTTTCTCTCTTTCTCTCTCTCTCTCTCTCTCTTTCTCTCTCTCTCTCTCTCGCTGTGCGTACGTGCGCGTGTACGCATATATGTGCATTTCTCTATCTCTCTCTACATGTATAATGTATTAGAACTGCGCGCACTCTTCGCGCGCTGAAGTTCTAGCGCGCGCCAGGAACATGTTTTAACACATTTGGCCTCACATGCCCATGAACGTGCACTCCATACGTCAACGCCCTTCTTTGGGGGGATTCGAAGCACGTCGTTATGGTCAGTCGTGGGAGGTTGGCTAGCCAGTCCAGCAGGGTCAGGGCGTTGATGGGCGCCCAATAGCCCCAGGCCGCCTGGGAGGTTTCCCGCGCCTCGAGAGTGGTCCCCCGCCGACTCTGGGCACTGCGAGCCCTCTTCCAGGTATTCCCCTCCGGGCGGGGCCCCGCCTCGGCCTGGGGCACCCCGCCGTGGGGCGAGGCCAGAGCGACGGCGGATTGCGCCCATTCGGCTTGTTCTCACAACCATCTCCCCCAGGTGTCATTCGACCTGGGCGCCGAGGGGGTCGCGCGCCCCGAAGAAGTACAGGGGCCGGGGGGGGCCTCTCCCCGCGGGGGCCACCCCTTCCAGCCCCCGCCCCAGCGGTCCGCTGGGGGGGCCCGTCGGTCGGGGCAGCTGGTGAACGGGCGCTTTGGGTCGAACCCCAGCACCCACCCACCCCTCTCCCTGGCCGCCTCTCGGGTCTCGTGGAGGAGGCCCGTCGCGGGCTCCCTCCCCGCCCCTGTCGGCGGTGCTCCCCTTCCCTTCCACGGCGCGGGGCTGGGCCGTCGAGGGGGAAGGGTCCTGGCTCGGGGCTTGCCTTGCGCGCCAGGGAGGCTTGAGCCCCCCCCCCCATCTGGGCTCGGCGCTCCGAGGTGGGCCAGGGCCTGTTCGAAAATGTATTGCGCCTGCGGGGTGGCCCTCCCCTCCCTGGCCGGGGCGGCCCCTTCGCCGCGAGTCCTCCTGCCCTCCCCCCCGCTGTGGCCTGGCGGCCGGGGTTTCGCTTGCGGCGTGGGAGCGGGCGACCCCTGGCGCGGGGTGCCTCCCTCCTCGTCCGCTTGTCTGGGTGGAGTAAGTTCAAGGGGGGTCCCCGGGCGCCTCCGTCACCCTCGTCTCCCACGGGGTACGTCGGCGCGGGGTGCCACCCCCTTGGGCCCCAACCGGACCCTCATGGACATGGCCCCCCGGGGCGTGGCCCCATCGCCGTTCCCGCCGCCGGGTGGGAAGAGGGCTCGGTTCTCGGGGTCAAGCCCGCCGACGCGGCGAGACCCGCCCAGGCGACGAACGCCGCGGCCAACGGAACGGCGACGAACCCCCCCCCGAGACGAACATCGCAAGCCCGGTAGGGAATAGGGTAAGAGGCGTAGCCCCCCCCGAAGAAAAGAGGCAGCGCAGCCGCGCTGAAGCCCGCGGCTGCGGGGGAAACGGCGGGGGAAGGAGAGCGCGCGGCAACGGGCCGGATTGAGCTGTCTCCCCCAATGACAGAAACATGTTCGACCCCGCCCCCTCGCCCACCGTCTACGCTGCAAGGCCCCTGGCCCCTGGAAGCAAAACCGAACCTCCTGCCTGGGCGTGTTTTGCGCGTGACCGGTCACTACCTGCCGCAACGCCCCCGGGAAAAAGGCCCCGCCGCAGTGCGGGGAGAGGCCGCGCGAGCATGGAAAACGTCGTCAGCGCAAAGGCAGCCCCCGACGTCGGTTCGGACATCTCGCCATCTAACCAAGACGTGACACCGACCAATCAAATTCTCTCAATCGACGAAGCCGCCGCAAGACGGGCCTCGAGAGGGTGCCCCCGAAGAGCTCCACGACGCACGGGCGCCCCGTAGTCCCGCCCTCCCCGTCTTGACGCACAGCCCGCCCTCCACTGTTTTTAGCCAGATAACGCTGTGACGAAAACGCTGAATGCGCAGATCCACGCCCTGAGGTTCGGCGTGCAACTCCGCGGTCTGATCGAGACCCCCCCCGGGCCCCACTTGCAAAGGCGTTGCCCATATATATATATATATATATATATATGTATATATACACACACACGCACACGAATGCGAAAGAGCGGCCTGCGCGTCGGAGGCGCCGGCAGAGAAGCCGCGCGACCAATGTCGCGCCCTCGCATCGTCTACTCTTCCAGAAACCGTGCTCCATCACCAGGGGAGGAACCCGAAGGAGGAATCAACGCATGCTTTTCCGATCGCCGGCAGCACGCAAACCGCCCCGCGCCTCGCTGATCCAAGTCGAACGTTTCCCCCCCCCCCGAAGTTGGGCCCCCGAACTCATGCGCCACCTCGGCGGAGTGCGACTCGTGGCCCGAGTGAGTCGAATACCACCCTCCAGCATCTTCCCACATAATTTCATATCAGGAACTGCCCTCTGATATCCTACTCCCACTTCCCTTGTTCCCAACGTTCGCCTCGGGGTTCAGGCGCATGAGCCATGCCTCAGCAGGCGGTAACCCTGATGGCACGATTCGTCTCTTGCTTGCTCCTCTGAAGTACATCGCAATTCTCCATTGGTCTTCCTGCGCGAGCTCGCAGTCGTCGCGCGTGACGCACGGTGTATCACCAGCGGGATGGGCGGCCAACCGTTCCTCCAAGTCGATCTTGTGTGCCGACATGCCGCCCTCCGTTCCCAGTGCGTTATCAACTCCTGCTCCGATAAATAGCCGCCCCGCAGAAGCCGCGCGCCTCGTCGCGTCGGTCCGAAGCGACACTTCGCCGCCTGCCGTGATAGGCGCAGTGCTTCTGCCATTCGACGGGCCTGCCACGCCTCGTCGATCTCATCCAATAGTGCTGTACGCCGTTGCAGTTCATATTTCTGTCGCCCCCTACGAAGTCTCTGACTTATCTCCTTCAGCTTCAGCTCGCACTCGATCAACTTGGAATATTCTACCATGTCTGTCCGCGACCGCCGCAGCCGTGCTCTTTCTCTCAACAGCTCATCTCGTTCAACGGCTTCTTGCCTGTAGGATGGATCATTAGATACGGCGTGACTGAACATCTGTTGCCCTTTTTCCACAAGAACGTCACCTAAGTGTTTGAACAGCTCGTCAGATATTCTGTGTGAGCAACGCCCTCCAAGTACCCTCTGTCTCCTGCAAGCCACTCTCCACTGCTTCCAAGAACTGAACTCGACGGTGACCCTTGCGCAGACACTGCGTGCGGTCGTCATGATTCCATGTTGTCTCGTGCAAAATCGGCGACCTCCGTATCTTCGAACGCTTGCATGCCCCACAGCTCCATGTAGACAGCATCGTGATCTTTTGGCGGGACCCCCTTGAATCCTGGAGTTCTGCCCACATACTGACTGGTGGAGACAACTTACGCACCGTGTCTATCATACACTCTGGATCAAGCAAATTATCAATACAACTGCTGTGCCCGTTTATCCCGGAACACGTGTAATCTAGCTTGCCACTGCGGGAATTAATCACGAACGTGTGCTGGCGATCGTTCACTTGGCGGATCATCTATCTTGCTGCGCCACGTCGCTGCTCTCGTGCTCGACCTGGTCCCACCGACTGAGATGCAAATCTCTGCCATTGTCCCGATACTCTCCTGAAACCAACTCCAGCGTTCACGTCACCGTAGACAAACTGGGTGCACTTGCACGCACGGTAACTGCTGCAACATGCGCTCATACCATTGTGTCAGCAACTGCACCGTGGTCTTGTATCTTGGGTCCGATCGAGCGTGGCGGGGCTGCGGCGGGAAATGCATGACAATGGCCGCCGTGCCCAAGGGTCCTCGTCGGACCCGAGCCGCCCGGGCGCGGCCAGCAGCACCAGGTGGGTTCGCCCATGTCTGACACACGTGTTGCTCCTTAGATGAGAAGCCTGTGTTCCTGCCAGCATAACTACGTCCATGCTACTGCTGCCAGTTGCCATGTCCTGCTTCCTCGGCCATGTACTGAACACTGGGTTGAAACCCAGCACCCGCAAGA